CTCTTCTTTCTTCGTCCACGCATGTATATATATATATATATATATATATACAGAGCGAGGAGGTTTTTCCAGGTATCGAATGAAAGAGAAACCTGCTGCATCAGCAAACATGGACGAAGAAAGGTGTGCGGAAGGGAGACTGTTCGTCGCGATTGTTATTGAGATAATTGTTTGGAGAAGATTTCTTTGGTTTATATTCTTCGAAAGGGACTCGATTTTGTTGGAAATGAAATTGGACTAGAATGAAATTCGGAATGGAAGGTACGAATGATGCGGATAGAATTGAACAAATATCGGGACAAACGTGTAATAAATATAAAGAGAAATTTCGCGGGTAAAATTAAATACCCGAGTTTGGAAAGGATAGATCTGGGTTGCGTGTATCGCATAGATAAATTCAAAAAAAAAATATTTCATCGATAAAATCGAATAACAATCTAGGATTTTCATACGTAATAAAAAATTTAGACGGATGCGAGTATTCATAAAATTGAATAAACATAGATACGTAGAAATGTAAAAAAATAAGAGAATATCGTGTTTGAATTAAATTTCACGCTTCACACTATCGTTACATTTACGAATACAATATTTGGTCTCTGGATAATATAACAAAAATTTGTTGCTTCGAGTCGTTTTTACACTCGGAAAAAAAAAAAAAGAAGAAAAATTCAAATAAAATATTAGCTTCGACCATTGACGTTTTAATTTTAACATCCTGCTCGATTCGTCGACTTTACATACGATTCTCTTATTTGTATTCGGCGTTAATTTTGTTCAGCAGGTGCGCGGAGGTCTTTTATGGAGTTGCACCACTCGTAATCCTAACGTTTGATCGCATCTATTACAGTTGAACCACCTATAATACGTAAGTTTCGAGACTTGGCGCACCAGTCGGGTAAAATCGATTCCACCTGCGCTTCACCTTCGTCCCATTCGCGCTCCTCTACGCTACCACTCTTCCCCTCCTCGTTCCTCCCCGTCTCAATTACGAAAGAAGATCAGGTTGCACCACCTTGTCTTTCGTTCTTCGTCACGTTGTTATTCGATCATCGACCCCTCCCAAGGGTCGATGCCGATTACCCGCCAATTCCAATCCACGCGCATTGCCAAACAAACGAAATTTTCAAATTCCAACTCGCTTCGAATCGTTGAAAATTTCGAGGAGGAGAGATTCGATGCGATATTGCTCGAGCGCATATTCAAAACATGTTTGCCGATGTTTCTGCTCCTTTGCGCTTCCACCCGCCCCGTCGATACACCGTGTTCATCAATTTCGTGCAACGTCTGCCAGTTTCGATTAACTTTTGCAGCGTGCACACCGATCACGGTTGTCTCGTTCATCAGTTTAATTACGTGTTATACAACCCGTTCATCCCGAGTCTCATAAACGATCGCGTTTACGAACGTGCAAATCGGCGGGATAAAGAGGTATCGTTTGCAATCGACAGATAACGAAACAATATTTTTCTTGAGCCGGTTATTATTGGCCCCTTGATTATCGAATCAATTAACGCGATCCCATCCTCCCGAGTTATTCCTGTCTTCCTAATTACGCGTCGATACTCTCCCCTCTGTTTAATTTTTATTTCGTTTATTTCTTTATTTTTTCTTTCTCTCTCTCGCTCTCTCTTTTTTATTCCATTTCTATCGATATATCCGTCCGGCAAACTCTATTCGTTATTGTCCCAAAAATGCCGTCGATGCGTTTTCATAAAGGTTGGCCGAACGTTTTATCGAACATCGAAACATTTCCCCAACCCTCGTATTTCCGCTCGAAATTTAGATTTTTGAGGCTTTCAACGGCGCGGAAGTTAATCCTGTATCTCGGAGGCTTCCCCCTCCCCGTGAAAAGCAACCCATCCCACCCCTGTTTCCAAGCGTGACGATGTTTCATCAACGGTGCAGCTTCATCAGCTTCTGACGACACAGGGTGATGCATTGGTATCAGTATCAGTAGTTTGGTATCAGTGTGTCATCAGAGACTTGATGAAGCTATATGGTCGCTGGAACGTTTCCTGGAAAACAGCTACGTTGTTGCAACACCGTGTTTTGGATCACGGTGTCCAAGAAATTAGCCGTAGTATATAGCCCTGGCTATTCTTCTCCCCTCCCTCTTGTTTCCTTTTTTATTTTTCGTGGAGATTGCACGCGGATCTCGCTTCCCTTCGTCGTTTCGAATTTTCATTCATCCCTTACGCGAATTTTCCACGAAATTTCTGTGACGTAACAGAGTCTCGTACAGAATTTCGTACGCAGGGCTCGATCGATCGTCGAAAGATCGTTATTCGATTGTTCAATCGTCGTATTATTCAATCGTCGTCACGTAAAAGAGAGAGAGAAAAAAAAAAAGAAAAAAAAAGGAAAAGATGTCGTTCCAACGGTTTATAAATACGCTTCCCTCATCGGCATATATGTTTTAGATTTCGCCTCGGTTTATGCTGTTTGCTCACATATGAAGCGGTAGCGGAACAGTTTCGCTCGAACAAACATACATCGCGCGTATGTTAAATGTGACTACTCGTATATGTATACACGAGTATGCATATCGAATCTGTTTAGACGCGTTGCATTTCGTGATTAAATCGGCTCTCGGACGCCCGAAATTCTTGGTCGCACGAATTTTCGTCCAATAAAATTAAATATCACGAAATTAACCTCCAACGTTGTTAACTTTTCTCGATTACGATTCTCTCGACGCCCCTCCTAAATATAAAAAAAAATATGAATAACTCAACTCGGAGAGGTCGATCGAAGCTCGCCAAATTGTCGAATAATAAACGTACGAGAAATAGGATAGGCGCCGCTCTCAAGTTATGAAATTTCAAATCGAAAATGCCGCTCTCCCGCCCGATTGTCTTCAAATTATCGAGGTGAAGAGAAGTGCGCTCGAAATTGAAAGGCGACCGATGCGGATAACGTTAGCGTTGGCGAAAGCCGCGCTGATACCTCGAACAGGAGAAAAGTGCAAAGGAGGGAAGCGTCGTCCCCCTTCCTTCCTCTACTGTTTTCTATGCAAATTTTTGGATAGGAGGAGGGGGGGGTGAAAAATCGAATCGGGACACGATATTTTCCCGAATTTTCTTTCCAAAACGTTCCAATTTTTTCTTTTTTTTTTTTTCCCCTCCCCGTTCTCGAATTCCCCGTTTTAATGCACCGATGTTAATCTTTTCCCCCGGAATGAATATGCATCTAGTGTAGTACGCGTCTAGATTAATCGATAACGGGAAACGTGTGTGTTACTCTACTCTGTAATGCTCTTCCAAAATTTTTCCACATTTTTTTCCGGCTTTCGTATTCCGTTAGTCGAGTATTATTTTTTTTTCCTTCTCTCTTTTCCCTTTTTTTTCTTTTTCAAATTCGAATATAAACGACTATATCATCTCTCGCTCGCATTTTCAACGTCGTTCGATCAATGAAATCTATCCGACTTCGGAAAAGAACGCGGAAAGCAACGAATTTAATCGAACGATTAATCGAGATTAATAATAACAACATTCCAATTGCAAGTTTAGAATAAAGTTAATCTTGACGAATGTTGCTCGATGAACAATTTATTGTGCGGTTAACCGCAACGCGTCGAACGTTACCACCGAAGAGTTTAGCTCAGCTACGAGAATAAATAATAATTATCGACCACACCTGTGGAATATATCTTATCAATAATCGCGACCTCGTGATCATATACGACCGCTCGAAGATGGACTATCGTGGATGGAAGGGGAGGTCGAGAAGAGGGGGAATATGGGCGGTTTGAAAAGTCGTTGCGTGGCCGGACGAAGATCGTGGGGACGTGGAACGGCCAATTATTAGCGAATATCGGCCGCCCAGGTTTTGGAATATCCGGCGATCGAACGGCGATATATATATATCGAATCGAGTTCAGGAATCGGCAAGTCTCGGGTGGGTTGGGAATATCGAGAAAGTTTTAACGGTCCTTCATTAGCGAAAATAGTTTTGGGGCGGGTGGTATTCAACGGTGGAACGGTGAGACATTGCTAATTCGAAGCCGACGGTCGTGGAATAGTTGCAGCTGTTCGATGTTCTTTCGTGACAATAATCGCTAACTGGCTGCTGATCAACGTGTTGATATATATATATATATAGGGAAGGGGAAAGCCGAGAAATTCGATTATCGCGCGTCGATTCATTCTCGAAATTCTTCCTAATGTTATTCTTCTAAGAAAAAAACGCGTGGATAAAGAGAACTTGTGCTGAAAGTGGGATTGATCTGTCTGCTTCTAGTTGCGGCGCGTAGAAGAGGACAAAGCCGCGTAAGGAGCTCTGGCTTCCGTGGACAGCTCTGGCGTAAGTGTGACACGATTACCAGTGGCTTTCCTCTTTCCTTCAACAAAATTCCGTCCGATTAAACGAGGATTATCGATATCGTCGGAATCGTCGTTGCATTAGATGTGAAATATTCCATTTTTATCCGCGATCTGTCCGCATTTTTTCGTAACGAGACGAGTCGAGTGATTGGGAGGAGCAGGGGATCGTAAAAGGGGATCCAAGAAATCAACGCACCACCAGTATCTTTCCTCCAGGAGATCCTCCGGTTGATCCTTTTATCGCTCCTTTGCGATAAAACGCAACGTTTCTTTCTTCTTCTTCTTCTTCTTCTTCCCGAGAAGAAGAGATCCTCCCCCTCGTTCGCCACCATTCTCTTTTCGGTTCTCCCTCTCACCACGCCCATCCCTCGTCGTCGTTTGCATAAAGTGAACCATCCGCGCTTTTAATACACGCAAATGAAGTTACGCTCCGGAACTAATCATATTTGCATGCGGAACGGCGATCTCCTTTGAGCCCTTGTCGCACTTATTATACTACGGTTAAGTCGACGAAGAAACGTTTTACGACGGAAAGACGAGCGGCATGGGTAATGCTCGATCGATCGATCGTACCGACGTCGTTTTGTTTTCGATACAAGAAGAAGATAATTGGCTCGGCAAGATCGAGGTCTGACCACCTGCGATTTTTCTCCGTAATTCACGATACCGCATCGATTCGATCTGGAAGAAAATTTAATATAGAAAAAAAAAAAAAAAATTCCGAAACTTTTCAAATTTTCACGAGGTCGAGAAATTTCGCCCTGGATTTCCTGACGTGCGAAACTTTCGAGTAGGAGGAGGAGGAGGAGGAGGAGAGATACACCACTCGATTCGTCACGTTCGAGCGCTAGGCGATCAAATAATTCAGATTGGAATCCACGGAATCGCGGCTCGATCGAAAGATTTTCAATTAAGGGAAGAAGGAACAAAGTTTCGTTTTATCGATGATGGTTGTGGTGGTCCTCGCGAGTCGCGCCTCCACGACACGGGATTACGCTATTACACGTTAATGAGAGCCGGGCCTTCCGCGCCCAAGATACGTACGAATGAAAGATAAACGCCATCCTCCCGAGACACTGTTTGCAGAGCACTCATTGTACGTTACTTGAGAAGTTTCCGCGACTACGCCGAAACGATATTCTTGCCGGGGCTTGCCGCGGAAACTTTCGATGAAACGTGACATTTTGCCGTTCCTCCGCAATCATGCTTAATTAATTATCGATCGCCGCCTCCTCTCCCTCTCCTCCCCCGCTTGATAAACGCCTCTTCTTATCTCGAATTTCGATTGGCAAACCGGAGGGACGAATTCCGTTCGATTCGAATCTTTTCTACTTCTCGTCCATCGATCTCGATCGATCACCGTTCGAATTTCCAATTTGAAATTTGGCCAGCACGCGCGTATTTAATCCCCCTCTCCCTCCTCTGCCGCCGCATTTCGGTCACGCACGATCGAGTATCGTCATTGTCGTCGTTGCGTATCGACCGTGGCGACGAGCAGCACACGGCCGTAATCGTAATCTGGAATATCGCCTTGGTCCCGAACGCTGTCGCGCATCGAGATACACGTATCGATAACGTGTAAGCGCGCTCCAAGAGAGCCGACGATCCGTCCAACGATCTGTCGCGTCCCGAATCCAATATTAAAGATCAGAGATTATTATGTACTACCGCGATTTATATGTTAAGCTCTCGATACCTTTATCGCTGATTAACCGACGATCCTCTCAACTCATCCTTAATTCGTTCCAGCGAAATTTTTCGAATAAATCCCCCCTCCTTCCCCGCAGAATCAAACGCTGCTAACTAAACTAACGTTACTAACCCTCTTCTTTTTTTCTTCTTTCTTTCCAGATTCTCTGTAAACTATCGTCCCCCTCCAAAAAAAACTAACACCCACGCTTCGCCCAAACAAACAAAAGCAACAACTAACAACAAGAATCGAAATGCGATCGGGTCTGAGCGAAGGAAACTATCGCCTACCCTCCTCGCCTACCCCCTGAACGAGCGAATCGAGCGTGGGTCTCGAGACGCGGGGAGTGGTGGTGGTGGTGGTGGTGGTGGTGGTAGTGGTGGTGGTGGCCCCGGTCGCTCGAGACCGAATCATGCGAATTCGTGGAAAGAAAGATGCGCAGGACGAGCAGCAACGGTTTGAAGCTCGACCTGACGGAGAACACGCCAGGTAGCTCGTTGTCGAGGCTGCCCAACTTGGTCGAGCATGCGGAGACCTGCCAAGCGTTGTCCACCGGAACCGGTGAGAATTTAAGCAGCAAACTGCCGAACGTGGTCGAGGGCTCGATGGACTATGGTAGCGAGCGTAGATCGTCCCGGTACCTCGAGTACCACCAAGACCACCAACCGACCACCCCTAAACCGTATCAGGAGGGCATGTTGCCCCCTTACGAGCAGCAGCAGCAGCAGGCCTACCACGACCACCAATCGAGCAGAGGGGGTGGGTACGGCAGAGGGGGCTACGGCAGGGAGGACATCGAGCGAGGGACGTACGACGACAGGATTTATCCCGAGGATGACGACACGAGCCTGAGGTACGATCGTCAGAGGGGGCCGTATCAGGAGTCGGAGCTGGACGCGGCGTACGATGCCCAGAAGCTGAGCAGGACTTATCCCGGGGCGGAGGAGGCGGGGGGAGGAGGCGGGAGGCGGTACTCGAGAGATCTGACCGATTACGAGTACGCGTCGAGATACGCGGAGGAGACGTTAAAGCTCGAGGCGAAGAAGGACCATCATCATCCTCACCACCACCATCACCATCATCATCATCACAAAGGGGCGTACGCCGACCCGACCCCGTCCAAGGGCTACGAGTCCGGGGTGAAGACGCACGACTCCGCGTACGAGTTGTCCCAGCAACAGGATCTGCCGGGGAGGAAGTACGAGGGGGGCAAGTATCACTCGGTGAGCAAGATGTACGGCACGTTGCCGAGGTACGAGGCAGGTGGCAAGTCGTACGAGGGTGGCGGGAGATCGTACGAGTACGAGGAGCAGCAGGGGACGCCGTACGATTCCAAGTACGAGTTGACCAGCTCGAAGAGTTACGAGAGGGGGTCCAAGTACGAGGGGTCCTCGTCGTCGAGGGCGTATCAGGACAAGTCGTCGTACGATCAGACGTTGAAGATCGGCGAGTTGGGCACCGCCGTCACCACCTCGTCGTCCGGTTACGTCGGGGGGAGGAAGGCGCAGGATCAGGATCAGGAGACGGCCGCGGAGAAGATGAACGGTTACAGGAAGAACAATTTCGAGGCGTACGGGGTTTATTCGGATCCCGAGGACGATCACGGTTTCCTGGCCGAGAAAAAGCCGGCCCAGTATCCGTACAAGGGCGTGGTGGTGAACGTCAGCGGGGAATCGAGCGTGATCGATCAGAAACGGGCGAAAGACGGGAGGCAGACCGAGGTCGTGGCCAATTCTTGGTGCAGGTTTACCATAGTGCTGCTCTTGTTGGTCCTCCTTATCGTTATCTTCGTCTTCGTCGCTGGGATCGTCCTCTACCTGAACTGTGAGTCTTTCACCTCCGTCTTTTATTCCGCGATCGTTCAATTTAGCCAAGCCTCTCTTCGATCGGACGTTGATTATTGATACCGAGTCGAAGCGAGAATAATCGGCTACGATTTCTCTCGTCAAATAACCCCGACGACGCGTTCCATTCCCCTGACGAGAAGAGTCGAAGAGTCTCGTTTAGAGTTTATGGCGCGAAAACGAACGAACGAACGACGGATGATCCCTTTCCTTCGTTCCCTCCTTTTCTCGATTTCTTTCTCGCCCTTTCTCTTTCTCACCGGATCGAGAGGGCCATTTACTTAACGAGCATCCGATACAAATTATTTACGGTCGGCCACGCGACCGCCATAATAACGGGCGACCGCGACGACGACGTCGAGGCCGACGACACGTGCTGACGATACGTTAAGCCGATGGACGGGGGAGGGGGGAGGAGACCGTCTCCCAGCCAGTTTTATATATTCGGATTTGACATGCCCGGCACGTAGCGACTTGCCACTAGCGAAACTGTTCGGACGGAATTACAATGTGAACGGTAAATGGAAGAAGAGGGTTTAAAGAATAGAGGTGGACAAGAGTGACACACACCTTGGGAATCCATTTTGTTCCACGGTGAACACGCTCGGACGCGGCACGCTTCAACGGGAAACCGTTACGAGAGCGAAACGTATTTAATTTTCCTTCGGGCGCGGATCTTGTCGGCCTTTGAAACGGTTTTTGAACAAATCGTTTCTCTCCAACGTTTTGCTTTATTATATCCCCTGTGGATATATATGTATATTTTTTTCGTTTTTAACGTTGGAAAAAATGAATCCTTCGAGGCGATTGTCACTCTTCTGCTCCCCGAGGGGGGAGAGTAATGTAAACCGACTAATTTTGGAAACACTCGATTCGCGATTCGATTAAAAGCGCATAGAGCGACAATGTTGCTGATAATGTATAATTCAACGTCGACCAATTAGTGGGATCAATAATTAATAACTTCTTGGTTGACTCGTGAAAATTAACGTACGTACGTACGTATGGTAAAATTCAATCTCGATTATTAATTAAATATCTAAATTGTATTTTCGTGAAATTAATCGGGGAAAGCGGTATCCCGTCCCCGGGGCTCGGGCTGTTTTTCGACCGAGCTTAATCGAGAGAGTCTATAATCAGTCAACGATACAACGATACAACACTTGTTACTACGTTCGTTCTTTTTTTCCAATCCCTCTCGCGAAACGCGAAAAACGAAAAAAAAAAAAAAAAAAAAAAAAGAAAAAATCGATACTCGTTAAAATCTTCCTCTTACGAGGACCAACGATGGATGGATGGATGGATGGATGGATGGATGGGAAAAAAGCGTGGAAACCACGATGGCGGAAACTCTCGATCCATTCGTCGCGCGTCGCACGCGGCCATTCGTTAAAAAAAAAAAAAAAAAGAATCTCTTCTTCCTCGCTCTTTTCGAGACACCGGCCACCCCCTCCCGGCTTCTCGACGACTCGTTTCGACGAACGCCGATCGCGAACAAAGGAGGCGGGAAACGGGGCAACAGAGTTGGAAAAGAGCGTCAGCAGAGTTTTTCGATGCGGTGCATCCCCAACGATCCATCCTCCCCTGCGATTTCCGGGGCCGGGTATCGGCGGCGTACTTTGGTCGAAACGACGAGCAAACAAGGGATGAAATAGCAAAGTCGGAGCGGGAGGGCTATTCCGAGTGGCTGCGTTTGGCAGCGGGCGAAAGGCCCGTTTCACCGATTCGCTTTATTTTCGGCTCGACTTTTCGCCCGACCGGCTCGCAATCAGCCCCTCCATTGTCCCCCGGGGACAATACATTTACCGCGGGGAACGGCCAACCCCTTCCTCCACCCTTCCCTCTGCATCCACCCCGATTTTCGAAAATTCGAGCCGATCGTTTTTTTCCCGCGCCACGCGTCGATTATCACGCGTTTTCGAGAAAATTTATAATCCCGCGATAATCGGGAGAATCGTAATCGCCTCGATCGTGGTCGAAATTCGAGAGTTATTACGCTCGTACATCGCCATTTCGAGAATCGTGGCATTTTTGAAATCGGTGGGAGGGGATCGAGGAGGAATCGATCGGTGGATCGAGGACCGGCGACATTGACGGATCGCAAGGGAGATGTATCATGCGTGGTTGAACGCGAGGAAGATTTGTGTTGTACGAGCACCCGATACCGCGGATAGCCGATACCGTTATATGACGCGTATATAAATTTTATCACACCCTTTTGCAACCCCACCTCCTCCCCCCCTCTCCTCTTCCCGACGAGCTTCGGGGAGCAGAGTTGTCGCGTTTCAACGCGTCAATTTTGATTTCGCGAAACTTGGAAACTCGAGAATTAATCGATCCGCGGGACACGCGATAAATTTCTCTTTACTCGGTCAATCGCTTGCCAACTCGCCGACCGTTTATCTGAAACACACACACCTAATTCAATCGTGACCTAGGAGTCGCTCCTCCTCGATCGTGCAATCCTTCTTTAAGAAGACCTCCACTTATCCTTGAGAGGATAACTCGCGATCAAGGAAATGCGCGACCAACATTCGATCCCTTCGCTCGTGGATAGACCGCTATGAAATTAGTGACACTTGGTATATACGAGACGGAGACAAGCAGGAGATTTGGCGCAGGATTCGGTATGTAAGGCACGTGTTCGTATCCTCCTTTACGACCGTTTCCCGCCATTTCGTCCTCGTTCTCGCCGCGCGAGAAACGGTTTCTCCGAGGCTGGTGGCCTTCGTAGGATTAAGGGCGTCGCCGATCGTATTAGGGGATATCTCATCTGCCCGGCATGCTAAACCCGGCTGCGTTTGTTCCACGTAAATTGCGAGAAATTTGCCCGGGACGATGTCGATCGTTGCCTTAACGCAGCCAACCATCGTCAAACTCGATCATCGACCATCTTCTAATTCCTTGATCCCTCGAAACTTTGAACCACTGAGACGCTTCTTCTTTTTCTGCCTTCTCGTAATCGATCAATTTTCGATAGTCTGTCGGATGAAATGTGTGAGAACGAATGACGAGTTCGATGCACGAGACAGATGCAAAGAAAATAGAATTTATTAAGCGAAGCTGTAAATTTATATCGATTCAAGAGAAATTTATATCGATCGAGTCCCCTTTGTGTGGAACACGCCTGAAACGATCCCCGGATGATTCTAAATTCAACACGGAGATACTTGGAGATCAAATGATTTCCAAAGAAATCATTGGATGCGACCAAAAATCCGGCTTCTAATTATTCCTCGATCTTCGAACTGGCTGTCGATTGTCTCATTGGGTTTCGAGAAAGGGTATATATTTATTCGCGACCGAGGGAAACGATGAGAGAAACAGACGAGATTGGAT